GATTAAAACATAAAGAGAACATAACTTATTAGAAACTTCTGATATTTACTGCTGCCAGGCTGCGAGAGCTCATAAAAGCAAAAGAAAACCAAGCTTGTAGCTTCCTGTGCTCATTAAACAGACAGAGGAGCAGGGGAACCGCGGGCTTTGGGGTCACTTTTATGGACCCTCTTCCAGGGGTGATCGCTGCGTGGACGTGCAAATGCGTGTGCCCACACAAGAGGGCAATGCAGGAGCAGGAACAAGGGGAGGGCAGCTCCCTCGGTGGCAGCCGCAGCTGGAAGGGTGTGCAAAACTGAGCTAAAGGGTGTGCAAAGCTGCTGCTTTCGAGCAGCTGCAGCCAGAACTCGCTCAGGAAAGCGCTGCGCAAGTTTCTTTCCCGAGACACGGGAAAATCTAACCGTTTCCACGATTTTCTTGTCTCAGCCTGTGCCGAGCCACCAGAGCATGTATGTATTTTGCTGTTGACAGTTTTCACTAGAGGTTGAAGTGGTGTAGCCACAGTCACTCCCTGGTATCGCTAGAATTGCATGGGGTTATACTACAGCAGAATTTAATCCAAATATTTTTAGTTTTAATGATTTAGGGTAAATTCCCCTACGCTACCTCCATTGATTATCTATGCCAAAAAAGTGAGATTGAATTTGCTTTCTGTCAGCGAGGTAAATACACTAAAAAAAGGCTTTCAGTCGACTTACAGACTTGTCACAGCTGATCCACATTAACAGCCTTGAGCTTGCTCTTGATTCAACATCTGACTTCGCTAGGGAGGAAAGCACTACAGTCCCCCTGAGTTGCAGCAGAGTGGTTTTGCAAATCTCAATATATTTTGCTCGTTATAAACAGGAGCTTGTTTCTGAAAACGGTACCAGCAGGAGAGGCTGTTATAGCCCAACAAGAAGATTCCACATAGATGTGTATAAAATGCCTTAGAACTGTGAGGGAGGAACAAGAAAACTTTCATGAACAACCAAGAAATCCATCCTTGAACTTTGGGGAGTTTTGAGCACCTTATCAGCTGCATCCTTAGTGCCAAGGGAGAAAATCAAGGGGACCTTGTTTCTTTTAATTTTTATAGGAATCAGACCAAACCCAACACTTTTAAAAAGTAGCTTTATTTAAATTAGTGCATTAAATAGAGGCATATAAAAATAGCCTAATATAACAGTAATTATTACACCATCCAAATCTAAATATAATCTTTAAGCCTGACAGTCAAAGTGTGTGTGGTAAAGTCTTACCAAAAGATGCTTTTTCATCCTATCATGCTACTCCTTATTCCGGTGTTACAGATATTTAAATGGGAAGATTAGAGTGTATCTCATGATCTACACTCCTTTTTTTCTACTTCTTTCAGCAACAAACAGTAGTGGCAGCGTTGAACGAGGTTATAATATCATGTTTAATTAAAAACACCAACATTATTTGAACATTTGAAATAGTCAGCTATGCCTTTATCACAGCATCAACTGAGCTATTTGTTGGATCAGTTGGATCAAGTTTCCAGACGACTTCCCATTCTTCCAGATACACACTGGCTCATTTACAGAAACAAAGACTGGACTGGAAGGGATGACTGGCTCACCAGACCTACTGGCCGTTCATCACAGTGTGATGCTTCAACAGAAGACATGCTCCGTTTCTTCTTCCCAGCATAAACTGCTATGTAATTGATTTTTCAGTAATTTTTCAAAGATGCTGAAAAGATGTGGGATTCGACATTGGAGCCCTTTGAAAATTCAAGTTGCATTTCCATACAGATGCTTCTCTGTGTCTGAACGTGGTGTTCTGCTCTGTTTGCATGCATTTCATATAACAGTGCAGTAGCAGAAATCAAAATCCCCTTCCTTTAGTATTCTTTATGCCTTTATTTATAATCATGAGCAATCAAGATCCTCAGCTAGTGATTTCTGTTGAAAGCCATTAAGCTACAGATATATATACACAAACACTAGCTAGGGCTTCAGCCCCTACTAGAAAAGAAATCTGACCTTTAGGCAGGTGGACAGAATTTCCCTGGCTTTTTTTAAATTAAGCCTCACCAGCAATAAAAAAGATAGATTAAATCAAATTCTCATGATGAGGCCGAAATAAAAATATCAGAGTTACCACCCACTTCCCTTCTGAATTGTGTTGCAAGTTAAAATCTTAGATAGCACATACCGTTATTTCAAATTTATTATCACCTGTCTTGGTATCTTTCTTGTATGAGACAGATTTTTCATAAGATAATTAACTGAACCCCGGAGAAAAGAATTGCTATAAATGGTTAGGACTGATACAGGGAGGAGAAGTGTCTCATAAAAGTCCACATTGTGCTAATAAACATGCCAAGAAAAAGTATGATCATTAGACAACATCATGTCCAGCCATCAGGATTTATTTCCTTCTTTCCAGAGGGAAAAAAAAAAAAAAAAGAACATGATCTGATCTTGGAACACTGCCTCCAACTGCTTCAAAAATCTATTCAGCTCTTAAGATATGGAACAAAGAGGGCAAATTTTTCCTTGAATATGTGTGGTGTGGAACCTAAAAAAGTATTATTTTGGCTGTAATGTTTGCCATAACATATATTCGATCAATGCTGTAAGGCATTGCACATTCCTCCCACTGGTATGAGAAGCAGCTGACGGACAGTTTCAAGGAGATGCATCATTTGGGAAAGATTTATTCTCCCCAAAATAGGAAGGCACAGTATGTGCCTCAGCTTCTCCTAGCTAGAGAGCAGTATTAGCTGTAGTGCTGCTGTTTATGTAGATAACGGTAACGGAGGACCAGAGGGACAACCCTGGAAACTAGAGCCTGAGGTGCTTGCATGGGCACATGCAGAGACACACCATGCTCCAAAGAGTGCATGATACCATCCAAACCTACCAAACAAAAGCAGTCCCAGGTCCCTCCCTTGGAGCACTCGCATAGGGAAAGAGATAAAATCTTGGTTCTTCATCTTTGATAACCAGAGGCTTTCCTGGAAGGAAGAGACATCAGGGGAGAGCTGGTAGACTCCCACAAGAAGACATGTCGTCATGATGTGCAATGGGGTGTCCAATAAAATGTTGTAATGCGTTACACAAAATTATGTCCCCAACAACTTCATCTGCTAATTTGCAAAGCCCGTGTTGACTGAATAGGCAAAACCCAAACTGACAGGTGAACAAGTTTCTGAAGCACTATTACAGACATTAAAAGGCACAGGGCTGCAAGAAAAGTCCTGAGCTAACCAAGTTACCTGCCAATTTCCCATGACTCTTAAGTACATGAAATATCTACATGAACATAACCTGCTGTCAGGAACTCACGCTGGAACAGCGTCGCTGAGTATTTCTAAGGGCCTTCTCCTTGACACAGACCCAGACTTTAATCACAGGGCTTGGGTAAAGAGTAAACAAGCTGTTTAATCCAAGAAATTAAACCTCCTCATATACAGACAGTCCAGCTGTGCCAGCTAGACAGCAAGTATTTGACAGCAAACTGTTTATAGCCTACCTCTGCCAGAGGAACAATTTAAGTAGTATCAGAATAGGGTTTTTCCTGTCGTGCTTCCCATTCCCAGACTTCTTTGTAAAGTCTGCAAACAGAGATGCCAACATACCCCATTCTGACCTACACAGCAAACAACTGGACTTGTGTTCCTGCTGTGTTATCACCGAAATGAATCATTGTCATGTCTCCTCAATGGCCTGGCAAGATGGAGAGTTTTCTGCTGGGAAGCGTCAGTTGAATCCCACACCTACTGCTCTCATGACACCAACTGCATATTTTGTGTTTATCGCAGAAAAGAAAAACACCCAGCAGAAAAAGGCTCAGCTTTAAATTTTGCTCTTTGCCAGGACAAACATGGGAGCAAGTGAAGCACAACTCTGAAAGCTCCAGCTTATTAAACTCCAGGGGGAAAAAAAAAATCGTTTCATCAATCTTTTTTGAAAAACAGAATAAAGATGCTAGATAAAAATGTCCGTGTCTCCCCCAACAACATAAATTGCACAAATCTGAGGAATAGAAATGGCCATGCTGTAACATCATTGCCCACTCTTTCTGTATCTGAGAAGAATTTTAGGGTTGTGTCCTGCTGTTACTGGAGTCAGGAGGAAAAAAACTTGCCGGGAACGGGGCATGGGGATGACAAACCGTTCTTTGCCTTCTCAGACTTCACAAGTCCCTCGGTCAGCTTGGCAATGAAAGGTCCCCACTGAATCAGAAAGATTAACTTCAGGGGAAGGTATCCCTACTGGGAGCGAGCAGCTGGCAGTAGTTAATATTTATAGTCTTCTGCTGCAATGGTGGGTGGGGTCTAAAAAAGTGTAGGAGATTTGGACTAGGTGTCTTTGAATCAAGTCTGCATTAACCTTGTGATCTGAAGCTTCTCTCTTACCAGCATTTGGAGCATAAAATCCTATCACTTATGCCTAACAGCCACATACTTGTAACCCTATACATGTGGGATAAAATTAAATGAAGACAAACTGAGACGCCCGTATTCCCCCTTTATAATTTATGAGGATAGAAGGCAAGTTATTTGCCAGGGCAGGGTTCAGAAACTTTAGATATCCTGCTAGAAAAAATTTCTTCGCTCCCCATTAAGAGATATCTTTCCGAGTTTGTCAGACATCCAAAATATTATTTCTGCTCTCTTCATTAAAAGCCACGTTTTGTAAGCGACAGAGACATACTCTTCACAGACCACTATTTACTTAAACAAATTATTAATCATAAAGTGATGCTGGAATGCAAGAAATGCTACATCTCCAACCATGACTCAACAGCAGTTGGTTTGACCTTTGTTTTGTTTGGAAAATCCCCAAAGTTGAAAACCTCTGTTGGGTGAATTGAAGCTGGCTGACAGTCAGGTTGGCTTTCTCAGGGTTTTGTTTTCTTGCTTTTTTTGGTGAGCTCTTTAGACATAGTTCCCTGGACACTGGGGGGTTCAGAGATCAACAGTTCAAAACCATTGCTCTACAAAATGCATCCTCGTTTCAGTATGCAACAAACCTCTGCCCACATCTGAGGAAGGAAAGCACCAGACAGTTTATTCTTTATCTCATCAAAGACTTCAACAGCACAATGGAACAGCAACTTACTGAACAAACACAGAGGAGATCTTTTACTTTGTTATTTATCTCCTAGAAGAAATATAAAATTAATTGCTGCAAAACATTTCAAAGATTGGAAATACCGTCTATAGTAAAAAGGGGAACTAAAATCATACGGCCTAAGTGGGAGAAGTGTGAAAGTCTGTTGCTATCCGTAAGCATTTGCATTTTTAGAATAACTGAAAATGATAATATTCCACATTCCTAAGCCAACTGCAGCGCAAACCTTCTTAAACATGGATTTTAGTGCAGAACTGTAATAGCTAAGGTCTTTCGTGTCTCAACAAAGAGATCATGGTCATTTCAAATGAGATCTTACTTTGCAAGCTCAGATATCAAGCAATTATAGCAAACCCTCTTTTGATAGGTGTCCAAAGATAATTTTCAAAAGGAAGCAGTATGAATCACCTAAAGATCCACAGAACAATTCTCTATGTTGTATTTTTGGACTCACAAAATCTCTGAACCTCATTTCACGATGGCGTCAGTAACGCTTCTTTTTTATTTACTGCAGTGGCTAAATACTCACCCTCCCATGTATTGGATATTGTAATTTCCATTCAGTATGCTCTCCCAAATCCCATCCTTTTATAGAAGTAATGCACCACTGGGAGGACTACAGAAAATTAAGGGAGGAAAATCGGTTCAAAGAGATTAGGCAGTGTTCCTTGTTATTGCTGGATTGTTACATGTATTACTTTCCACTATATAATTATTTTTGATAATTAATCTAATAGTAATTACCATTTATCTAATTACTTGCAATATGAAGCCTTTATGTATTCTCCCAGTTCCTTCTCTCATCCTGAAAATCTCCAGCAATAGCTCCTAGAGAAGGACTTTAGAAAACCAAACTTAAGATGCAAATGTTCAGAAAGAATTTAAATAATACTGCTTTACAACCTAACAATCCGACTTCTAACATACGTACCTTTCTCTGCAGGAGAGCAGAGTTCTGCCTGTGTCCAACGTGAGAAAAAGTGATACAGAATTATGGGAATTGTTCCATCCTGTGGAGTCAGCAACACAAATGGGAGGCTATGCCTTAGTAATTCATGGTGCTTTTACTTCCCCGTCGGGCTGCGAGGATAATACCTAGGAGACATATTCTGGGAGTTGTTCCATGCAAGATTCCTGTACAGGGCTGCACTGTTTACATTGACTACAAATCTGTATGCACAAGAGAGCTCAGCATGGGAACAAAAAACCTATCTCTGAAGTCTTTCTGTGAAACAAATTGAACATCATTTTCCTCATAACAACAGGGGAAAACAGAAATAATTCTGAAGGGTAAAGAGTCTCTCAAAAAATTTGCAGGTAGCTTCTGCTTTCTAATACTACAGACTGTGTTAAACAAGTCTCTTAAATGAATAGACTTCCTAAAAATACATGTTCACTGTAAGTGAGGCACATCAAGTCCAGCTAATTGATCCCTCTACAGGCCACGGAAAAGGCAGTATGGAGACTCAATCTACACAAGAAATCAAGTAGTCAAAAAAAGTTACATTGCAACATGAGAGCCACATTTTAAGAACTACCCGTTTCTTGAATGCAACTGTATTCACTATTGCTCCACAAAATAATATGGGCCAAATGAAATACTATTTTTTACAGATCAGATCAGATGAGATATGATGAAAAGACAATGGGGAGGGGGAAAAGAAGCAGGAAGGTCCTGCAAAAGAAAGCAAACCAACCCTCTACTTAAAGAAAGTACAAGAAACGGGTCTGCAAAAGCAGTCGATCAAGACTTTCAACTAAGAGGACTTTGGAGGAAGAAATTTTATCTCCAGGCACAGGTTAGCCTTGTGTAAATCCTAACCCTTGTTTTAAACAAAGTGACCTCAAATTACCCCTGACTGCTAGAAGAACTTTGTACTAGAAGAGAACCTTGGTGGTAATTTTGCAATAAGCAAGACAAAGCATTTGGAAGAGAGAGCTTTCCAGTAACAGGATGATTTCACTTTGAAAAACTTCCTAATTGTGGAAGAATCAGCTCTCCAAAGCAGCCCAGGCTGGAAATCCTAAACTTGCTTCAGTTGAGCTTGGCATGGACCTTTAACTAGTTTGTTGGCAAAATTATTTAAATAAAGGTTTGTTCTCTATCTTTCCTTTTTCCAAAGGTACAAAATTTTGTCAAGTAAAAACATAGCCTGACCACCCCCGAGAGTATAAACTAAATTGAACTTAGAAATAAATTTGCAAGGACGAAGACATGCTGTTGTAAGAACACGTTTCCTCAATGACCACAGACCCAGCACAAGCACAGAGTACAGCTACGTTGCAGCTGAGAGCCCGACTGCTCTGGACCCAGAAGTAACAGAGCGTCAGCAGTGTGCCAAATCCAAGCTGACAAGCTCTGCTGGGCAGCAGAGTCCTCTTCCACACCTGCATGAGTGTCTCTGCATGGTGTTATCTTCGCTGCAGATGCACCAGCACAGCTGAGGCTAGCTCAGATGTTTCCACCATGCTCCCCTGCAGAGGCGCAAATGTATTTTCTGCTGCTTTTCCATCATGCTAATCTGGTACTCACAACCTCTTATTTTCCTGCAGACCCTTTTAGAAATTAATTTTTAGGCAGGATTTGAATGTCGAGGGGACTTTATAAGCTGGATAAGAACAATGTCCATATCAAGGCTTTCAGCTAGGAACAATAAGGGAGGACAATTATAACAAAGTTAAGTGAGGCAGCAGTGGACATGGATTGAGAGCAAAAGATGCAGAGTGGCAGGAACAAGAGGGACCTCAGAACAATAAAAAAGGATGAACAGATGACCACCTCAAATGTATGGATACAAACATGCGGCAGCCTGGGGAATAAGCAGGAGGAACTAAAGCTCCTCGTGCTGTTTCTACAGCACTGTTGGAATAACAGATACGGTGGGAGAGCCCACATGTGGTGGGAGCACTGTGATGGATGGATACAAGCTTCTCAGGAAAGACAGGGAAGGAAGAAGCGAAGGTTGAGGGGGCTTTTTACATGAAGGAGCAGCTTGAACATTTGTGATGGATGGCAGTTAACAGTGACAAGCACATAGCAGTGTATTACAGACCAGCTCATCAGGGTGACGAGGACAGTCAAGCACTGGAACAGGTTGTCCAGAGAGGTTGTGCAGTCTCCATCCTTGGAGATTTTCAAGGCCTGACTAGTTAAAGCCCTGAGGAACCTGGTCTAATCTCACAGCTGATCCCGCTTGAGGAGAAGGCTGAATTAGGTCCAGAGGTCTCTCCCAACCTGAATTTTACTATGATCCAAAGTCTAAAGGATAGAATCCCAGGCAGGAACTGTAGTTTTGAAATTGAGGCAGAGGAATAGAACATCTGCTACCAGTCAAGAAGTCTGTTTTGTGGCTGTGTCTTAGCCATGAGCATCACACACAGATGCTCAGCCAGCAGCTAACTGTAGACCAAGGCTGCAGATTCCCAGGAAACTATGGAGGAATGATGGAGCAGTGGCAGTTGTAGCAGAACCCACTCCTGCAACTGTTGTGAGCGTCAAACATTTAGGGGGGAAAAAAAAAATCTCTGGCAACAAATGTTAACTTGAAGTTAATGTCCCAAAGAGCATTTTCTCAGGGCAAGGAACTTTTAAATGTTTTCAGTTTCCCTAACCAGTTAAGAGCCAGGGAATGTGAGACTGCACATACTTTTTAGTATTCCCAGCAAGGGGAAGGGGCAAAAATGTGTTTAACGCACTGATGTTCCTTACACGTGGCCTCCCCAACAGCCCTACCCCCAATATAGCATATCAGTGCCAAGTTTGAGAAGTAACTAAAACTTACCGCCTCATTCTCACCAAGACATTGTTTACGTGTTTTTGGACCATATGAACAAGCTCTCAAATCCAGACTATCACCATAGTCCTTTCTTGACAAATATCCAACCCTTGTTTTTACTGACAGAACCATATTGATTGTTTCTAACCATCTTCAATGCGATAAGGCTGCTGCCCTCAGGAAATTATTATAATCACACCATCTCTCTTGATTTGCTAAATACACTCCCTCAAATCTTGGTCCTCCTCTTCTCTGTCTGGTTCTCTTCCTACAGATGGCTTCAGTTCCACCGGTGTCACGCAGCTCTTCTCCCAGTCACAGCTCATGCTCTAGGGAAGCTTACGGTCGGTCCTCCACCCCCAGCTAGCAGTCTCTTCTACGAAAGCTGCCAGTCGGGCTTATTTACATCATCAATGATAGCTGCTCCTCGAAATCTCTAGCCTTCACTCAGCAGCTGGCCTCCAGCTCCCTGGACTTGCAGACATCTGAAATAATCACCTGTGCATTTCCATTGCTACAACACTGCTTTCGGCTTCTTTTTTTTCAGAAATTGGCCTGCCGCCATGACAAGGGTTCAGAACTATTCCCAAAAGGGACAGACAGTCTAAACAGAAAAGTGATGCTGAAAGGCGCTGCGTGTACAGTAACCATGTTCTGCCCTGCCTTTTAAGGAATACTAAGCAGCTTGAACGCCTATTCACATTTACAAATGAAGCATGTGCTTCAGCGCGGCTCAACTGTATAACCAAATTACAAAGCTCATTGGTATTTGACTACAAGTGTCCTGTGTCTATGTGTCAAAATTCTTACAAAAATCTTTCCTACGTATGTCAGAGTGAACCACTGTGAATATAATGCAAGTAGGTGCCACAGTTCTGGTGTATGCTTCTGTCCCTGATAAGCCATTTTCTTATTACTGCACTGCAGTATTACCCATTTTGTTTAGCTGGAAAAAAGAAAGCTCACAAGTACTCAAGTACTGCCCTAATCTTCAAAAAGCTTCAAAGTCTATTGCTGGGGAAACAGCAGAAAATGTACCTCTAGGTTCTGTAAAGATTAAGGTAGCAACAGACTCCTTACAGCATCAGTGCCATGCTTGCTATCAAAGGCTTTGGGTTAGCACCAATAAGAAGTTACAGTAAACTTCATACCAGCCTCCAAAAAGAAGTTCACACCCTGGCACCAGGATTTAGGTAGAAAACTAAGTTTGAAATTCAAGGCTCAATCTTGAAGAAGTTAGTATGAGAATTAATTCCTGTGACCAAGATGATGACTATGTGAGTCATTACTCGAGAAAACATTCATGAATCAGAAATGGACACATATAAATATTATTTTAAACTCCAAATAAACTAATATGGAATTGATTTGTAAGACGGTCTTCCTGCCACTCAAGGTCTAACCCTTTAGTCTGCCAACTGCTGGAAAGTACTTTTCCTTGCCCAGTTTTTACAAGCACTTTGGAAGTATGCATTACTGCCCACAGTATTTCCAAAAAATAATACCTCAGGGAAAAGAGAAAACACGTCTTAACTGTTCAGACTACACCATTAGAAAAAAGTCTACACAAAATCATATACCACTGTAACATTAAAGAACCTAAAAATACTGAAAATGAAACAGTAATCATAAACATCAATATTGCATCTGTATGATAATCTCTGAGTTACAGTAATTTCTTGTACAGATTTTCTGTTAAGAATAAAGACAACAGTCTGTAGAGTTGTTATCACGGTGGCCATTTAGTTCTAATGTGCGAGTGGCCCTCAAACTGGACAGGTAGAATACTCACAAACGTACCTGGAAAAATCTATCTGCCTGCCCTCCATTTCCCTTTCTGACTTCTGTCCCTCCCCTCTCCCCCTTCCTCTGAAAATACTCTCTTTTGTGGCAGATGGACAGAGAACTCAATGAGAACCATTGACTCTTGCTGGCCCATCTGATCTGGAAGGGGGACAGTCACCGTTCTGCTGAATATCTGAAAAACAAGGCAAGACTGGGAACAGAACTCCAGCATGATATATGATTCTCTATGGATCTCTGCAAGGGACAGATCCCTCTGCAAAGCATAGTGAGTGGAAGGCTTTGGTGTCGCCTAGTAGGCAGCAACTTTGAGGAGAGTGAGGAGGCAAGAAGGGCATGCAAAAGCCCCTGCCTGAACCTGAAATACAGGTTTAAAGTGAAGTTGAAGGCAAAATGAGAAACATGAGTGTATATACAAGCGGGGTGGGAACCAGTCCTACGGGTACAGAAAACAAAAGAGAGTTGACTGAAGAAATTTGAGATCAGGTGGTAAACACAAGAGGAAAACAATTCTTCCAACACAAAACAGTTGCACTACCCTTGGAGAGCAATGCTTTATGAAACTGCAAACCCTACTATCTAATTCCATTCTCTTTATTTTGTCTTGGCACCATCTACATGAATGGAAAACAATTGCAAAAATCGATACATGCACTTTGGTTTTACTGGCTTCCAGAACATGACTGGAATGGAAGCAATGGTTGTAACATTCAACTTCTTTTTAACTGTAGTTTCACTGAAAGGTGTTTGTTTCTCGAGCTTTTACTTAGTCTATCATTTGTATGTTAGCCAACAGAATTCCCAAAGGCTTTTTCCCATGCTGCTCCTGTCAGTCTGTTTCATCGTTGTTTTTTTTTAGAGTGCCCAACTGAAGGCTACTTCCAAAATGTATCTGTAAAACTTGCATTTGAATGCTTTTCATTCATAAAACAGATGGAAAAGTGAAGAGTAAGGAGGAGAAAAATATACAGAAAGAAAGCAGACCTGTACAAAAAGCATCACAATGGAAAACAGAGGTCATTTGACTCTCCATTTCACCACACTAGAAACATTAAAAGTAATGTTCTTCGGACTGTGTGTCACATTCAATTCCTAAAACAGAATATCAGCTACTGTGTTTCTGTGCTGAAAGTCACTTTCCCACTGCTTTTTGTAGACTGTTTGCATTATTTAACTTTAAAGAGTCCAAAAGGCTTCTGATTGTTTCACTTCCTATTCCTTTCATCCTATTCTTCATCTTGCTGGGATTACTTTTTCCAAATGGTATCAATAGGGCTGCCAGTCCCCAAGGCTCTTTATTGATCATTCGCTGAGTTTTATCTTCCTTCTGTAAAATCCAGGCACTTTCTCTGGCCATAGCTACAAATTTCTCCAGCTGTGGCTGATTAACATTCTTGCTGATATTAAGGTCTTGTTCAAAGGGATTCCAGATATAAAGAGGAGACGACTCAGGTTTATTTACTTCCTTTCCCTGCAGACAGTGTAAAGAAAAAGCCAAAGTTGCATATATGTATTTTAGGCTGAGCAAGTAACAAATCACTTGAGTTATTACATTAGCATTAGAAGTATTTTGATCCAGTAGAGAACTTTTTTTTTTTTGGGGGGGGGGGGAGGATTTTTTAAATAA